ACCTTCCTTGTGGTGGATGTGTGTTTAGCAGTATCAACTGTTGTAATTATACACTGCATTATAACATGGGGAGGGCTTTCTTATTTGACAGGAATGGCCAAACCTGCATTGCTTGCTGACAAATTGTGATTATGTTGTCCCATTTTTATACATGAATAAATTCTTACCCTGCTGAACTCCCAAGGCTTTGAAGTTTTGATTATTATTATAGCAGTGTATACTGACAAAATAAGTCCACAAAATGCATGACATACTGAAAAGATAACAAAGAAACATTCTGTATTGGGACTTGAATTATTTTCTGGCCATTCTCCTCACGATTTCATAATATACCTCTCATACTTTTCTCTTGCCCTACTTGCTGAACTCCTGTCTACCACAACTTCTTGATAAGAAAGTTATTGCACATTCTGTTTTGTAACTATACCCTGCTCAGAGTTATAGCTTTTTTCATAGCTAATACAAATTCTGGTTCTTTCTTTTTTAAAAAAGGCATCTTCAAAAAAAAAAGAACAGGACAAAAACAGAAGACACACAGTACTATAAGCACAGTACAAATCATTCAAAGAAACAATTTTCTCTAGGTCCAAAACAAGATGTTTGACAGCTGTGAACAGGTTTATGTCATTCAAAACTGACAATTAGCAGCTAGAAGCAGGAAAAATCAAGCCCATGATGGGGCTCTTTTCCTCAGGCCTCAGCCTGAGCTACTATGTGCCTCATAAAGGAAAATGTATGCACAGAACATGCAGTGTTCATCAAGATATCATACCAAGATGTAGGTTAACACTATGAAGCAGGTTGACATGGTCCAATTCATAGTGCATCCCATAACTTTCTGCTAAAATTTTAAAAAGGTTAAAGATCTTATTAGCAGGCCTTTTGTATTCTTTCCATTTCCTAATCTGACCCACAAAGAATGTTGTGTATCAAGACTTCAACACAGGGGCTCTGGATTTAAGCAATCATCAAATGCAGTTCATTATTAACATATGTTACAAACACGAAACATTAATGTAATCTTAAATAAGAGCCATTTATATACATAGTAAGTCAGTGAAATAATAAATGTTAGAAATGTATTTTCTATACATCCATGCATACACACAGCAAGCAATACACACATAACACACATCCCTCAATCCTTATTCAATCAGCTTATCCTTCAGGATTTTCAGGTAACTGAAGAACAAGAAGAAATATGAATTTGAGCTACTTTAAACATTACAGCCAAGCAATTTCTCCTGCTTTTTGTGCTTCCAATTAAAATTCCCAAGGGGAAAAGGGGACTTTTTCCTGCTGTATGATGTATGGGTATACTGGCACATGAAGTTCACACCTTCTGGAAATGGTCTTTATTTGGACATTGCTAAAAGCTTGCCACCACTTCTACTTCCCTTATGTCCTCAAAGGTATTTGCCATGGTGAACAATCATTTCAATACTGAAGAGTACTCTACAAGAACTTGTGATAACATTTTTCATACTTAACTCTATAAAAATATGAGCAAAAATAACCCTGAAGACTTTGATTTTTAGAATGGTAACATGTTATTAGAATGACTAGTTTATAACAGACAGTGCCAAAAGACACACAAACAGCCTGACCCAATAAAAACTACTGGATCAGTTGAGGCCTATTCCTAAATTTGTGGTAGAATTCAAAGATATAGGCATGATAGTTTGTAGAATCAATATGCAGAGAAAGACTGAAAGACTGAGGAAGTAGACTTTAGTCCAGGGACCGGCAACCTTTTTCAGACCTGGGCCGGTCCCCTGAAGCCCAGGTCTCCGCTGGGCCGAGGGGG